TTCCAGAGACCATCGTTGTTTCCGTGTACAGGGAGTTCAGGCGGCTTATAAGTGGATTAACCTTCTTCATTTTCAACCTTCAACACATTTATTCAACGAACTACCTTGGACTTTGGTCATCTGACTATTTTTGAATTACTTCCGACTAAAAGAAAATGAAGTTCTTGTCGATTCTCTTGCCTGTGGCCCTCCTACAGGTGGCCTCAGCCCATTGTGAGGATGATGATCTGATCAGACATGCCGTGCAATCCTAACAGTATCCTCAAGATACCTTTCCTGCCATTTCATCTGGCGGCCAAAGCTCCGCCAATTGGCAGAATGTTCGCCAAACAGCGAACTACCAGACGACTGGTCCAATCACCAACGTGGCCAGCTCCCAGATGACCTGCTACGAACTGAGTCCGGGCAGAGGCGCGCCTGGAACTCTGGCTGTCACTGCTGGCAACACCGTCTGCAAGTTTAAGTTCCAGGACGATGGTTCGTTAACATCGTGTTACCAGGCTAACTGCATTCATAGCCTTCACTTCCAGCCCTCCTATCTTTCATCCTGGCCCTGCTATTGCTTACCTGGCTCGGGTTCCTTCCGGACAGACCGCCGCTACATGGAACGGCCAGGGTGCAGTCTGGTTCAAGGTCTGGCAGGATAATGCGTCCATCTCTTCCGGTGGCATCAGCTGGCCCAACATGAGTATGTGATTGCAGAACCGCCGATATCTTATCTCCAAACATTGACGCAACGAAAGATGCCGGCTCCGTGAGCTTCCCGCTCCCCCGCTGCCTTGACAACGGCGAGTACCTCGTGCGATTCGAGCACATTGCTTTGCACTCCGCTTCGAGTTCTGGCGGTGCGCAGCTCTAGTAAGATTGATCGAAGCGTCTTCCTGGAGAATAAGTAGTCGCTAATGTGATGCAGCCTGAGTTGTGGTCAGATTCGAGTCTCTGGTGGCTCTGGTGGTTACAAGCCCGCACGCCTCCTCAGCTTCCCCGGTGCCTACAATGCGAACGACCCTGGACTGCTGCTCAACATTTACTACCCCGTCCGAACCTCGTATACGTAAGTTTTATACATTAGTGCCAAAAGATGACCCTCCAGGTGGTTTTCCATGGTGACTGACATAAAGTTTTGCAGCCCACCTGGTGGACCGGTTGGATCTTGCTGATCGCAGATCAAGTCGCGACGGGTTCACCTAGAGAGAAAGGGCTACGGATCAGGTATTGAATAGGACTGAATGAATGAATGAATGATGGAACTTGGGAGGTATGACAGCAACAGGCTTCCAATCTCAGTCAAGCCACCCTTACACAACCTGAATTATCTGCACACTGTGCATACAATCAGCAGCCTTTCAACTTTGATAATATATAGCATTTGGTTCTCTGCATGCTTAAATACGGGGATATCTGAGAATCTCCAGCACCTTACTGGCATTAAAAGCTTATTATTCCCTACCTTACTTAAGAACGATTGTCGCTCGTTGTTCGACACCTGTAGAACAGAAGTGATCCGACAACCTGTCATACACGCAGCCATGGGCCTCTCGAATTTACTGCTAGCGCTTCTTGCTTCACTCACCCTGTCGGAGCCAATATCCGCCAGTGCGGTGAAAAAATCTCTCGAATGGAAGGCCTGCAACCCTGGTGAATCAGCACATAGCAAGACGAAAGTCGAGTGTTCTTCGCTCCAGGTGCCTCGTGACTACACCATGCCCAAGTCCAAAGAACGGGTGACCATCGAGCTGGTTCGTGCCAAGGCGAAGAAACAGCCCTCGCGCGGCTCCATCTTGTACAATCCTGGAGGCCCAGGTCTCCCGATGAGGTCCAAGATCTCGACCGATTCTGAGCTTCTGCAATGGTCAGTATCCTGGAGGCCTGCGATGTAGGGCCGATTCTGACTACTCCCCAGGATGAGCGGAGATGAGTACGATCTCGTCACCTTTGACCCACGGTAATTATCCCTATCAAACTTCTTCCTCAGAGGACACTTCTAATCGCTTATAAGCGGCACCGGCCCCTTGCCCTTCACATGCGGCACCATCGGTCCCATGCTCTCACAGCACAGGCCGAACGAAACCATCGAAGAGATCTGGGGGCGAGCTGCCGCCGTAGCTGCTCAATGCGCGAAGCACTCAACAGGTAATCAGCACGCCGAGTTGCTGGGCACCGTAGCGCTCGTCCGCGACATGATGCAGGTTGTTGATGCTCTAGGCGAGGACGGCTTGCTTCGTTTCTGGGGTGAGTTCTCTTTTGTCTCCCTTCCCCATTCCGAAATTCGTTTGACAAAAAAAGGGCCGCAAAGTGAGAGAAAGCTGACTGGCGGAAAGGATACTCCTACGGCACCATCGTTGGCGCCACAGCAGCAGCCATGTTCCCGGACCGCATCGACAGAATGGTCCTCGACGGCGTCGTGAACCCCCACAAGTGGTACCGCGGCTCGAGTGATCCAGACATGACCATGGACGCCGACAAGGTGCTTACAGCCATGCTCGAGCTGTGCGTCACCCTCGGCGCGACGAAATGCCCGCTCGCCAAACATGGCAGCACGGCAGCAGACCTCTCGGCCAAGGTCTGGCGGCGCATCGACGACCTCAAAGTCCAGCCCGCAGTCATCACCATCAAGCCCAAAGCCAAGGCTAGCCTGCCGTTCCCCGTGGTCATCCTAGTGACGATCAACTACATCAAGGCAATCCACCTGACGTCCAACTCGCTGATCAACAGGGCCCTCTGGCCCCAACACCTCAACTTCCTCGCCAGCCTGCTCGCCGTGCGCGGGTCCGACCCGTACGAAGCGGCCAGCGGCACCGCCGCCGCCGCACCGTCTCTGGCGAAACCCAGCAGCGCCAGCGACGCCGACGCCGGGCCTGAGCGCCTACATCGCCATCTCGCTGCGGCGACAGGCTTCGAGCGCACCGCGGCCTTCGCGGCCTTCGCGCCCGACATGGGCGCGACGGTCAACAGCAGCCGCATCTCGGGCGGCCGGTTCGCGGCCATTGGCGCCACGTGCGCCCAGTGGGCGTGGCGCGCGCGCGAGGCGTATGACGGCGACTTTGCCGTGACGACGCGGACGCCCGTCCTCGTCGTGAGCGCGGAGCTCGACCCGCGGACGCCGCTCGAGGCGGCGCGGCAGGCGAACGCTGCGCTGGGGGGCAGCGAGCTTCTCACGGTTGCGGGCGCCGGGGTGAGTCTCTTCTCTCTCTCTCTCTCCATGATGATCTCTTTTTTTCTTTCGGCGTTTGCAAGTATATGCTGACCTTTTGTAGCACTGCTCGACTAGCGTGCCGTCTCCTGCGCGGCTGTGCATCTGAGGGACTACTGGGTCAACGGCACGATGCCAGCGCCTGGAATGGTGTGCAAGGGGTCGCCGTTTGGTGCCAAGTGGGCTGATGTGAGAAAGGAGGTGGACAAGATGGGCTCATTGCACAAGAGGGAAGCTTACGACGACTTTGATGACGACGACTTTGGGCGCTCATTCATGGACGGCCGAGATGTGATGGATTACTTCTTGGAAGCCGACATCATGGACTCGGTGCTGTGAGAAAGGGGGCCGTTTGTTGAAGTACGAGTTCTGTAATCGAGGTCACTGGTATACATGTATGTGCTGAATCTCTTATGAAAAGTGCCGTCTAAACGCCGTGGTATATGCTCTAAAAAGATCTACGCTTCAATCAATTTGGCATCCGCCAGAGACTCTTCTCCAAACACCATTTCCATCTCTAACGATGTTGGCTTCTCGTACAGGTCAAACCCTTCCAGCGGCGGCAACCCCACTTGGTCCCTCGTCCATGCAATCCCTTTCCTCCCCTCGGGTATTTGGGCAATGGGTGAATGGATCAAAGCCTCTGACGTCTCAGCCACAAGGTCGTGGCCCACAGTACTCTTGCTCATCCATGCTGTGGACCACCACACCATGGGGTCGTCGTTGGCGCGGTGCAGCAGAACGGCCCAGTACATGATGATGAACAGGGCCATGGGCTCGCGGGCGCGGAAACGGGTGGCAAAGTCGACGCCAGCGACGGTGATGAGGGAGAGGTAGTAGCACTTGAGGCGGTTGAGGCGCTCTTCAGCGAAGCAATATTTCGTCTGGCCGACGGCGAGCTGGTACTCCCAGAGCTCGTTGGCAATGGGGCCCTTGCCGGGGGTGCCGTCCGGTCCAGGCTGGCGCAGCTCGCGGACGACGGTGGAGAGGTGGTTCAGGGCGATCATGGTATCGCCGTCAATGTCGTTGACAAGGCTGAGGTCGACAGTGTACCTCTCCATGACGATGCTCGTCGAGTCAGGGCCTTGGATCATCCAGTCAAAGTTTGTCCAGGCGATGCGCGAGGCCCCGAGGATCATGTCAAATGCGATCGTGATGCGGTCGGTGCAGGTGAGTGTCTCGGTCGGTAAGGGAGGCATGGCAAAGTTGAAGAAGGCGGAGATCATGGCAAAGTAGAAGAGATAGCAAATGTTATCGGCGGTGATATGGCTGAGATTGGATCGAAAGTCGACGCTCGCCTTGTTGCTGTATTCGAGGGCCGCTCGACGGTACATACGTGCTTCGGTGGGACTCCGCTCTCGGGCGAGGTCGAGGGCGGTGATGGCGAAGATGCCATTCATGACATAGCCATGGCGAAGGCCAGCACGGGGTAGAACGACCTGGAGAAAGGGCTGGTCTTCTGGTATGGAGTAGAGAACGGCCCAGGTGCGGGTCGACCAGCGGTGCATCAGCTCGAGCTCAAGGAGGCGTTCGTTGGAGGAGATGCTGGAGAAGGCGGCGGGCGAAGGACTCAGGGATCTTGATAGCGACTGTGATGATCGGTGGCCGACGGATTGTGACGTGTCCTCAGGTCTGGAAGAGCCACGGTACGTGACGGTGACAACCGAGGGCCCTCGCGTCTTGCACGTGTCCGACTTGGGCCGGATGGAGATCTCCTTGACGGTATCACGCGCAAGGTCTTTGGCAGATTTTGGGTAGAAGCAGGTCGATGTCGTCTTGCGAATAACGCAATTGGCACACGGCGGGCCTTGTTCGTCACACTAAGACCGGTCAGTACGATGTCAGGAGACCGGGGAGACTTTTTGATATTCAGACCTTGACATGTCTCTTCTTGCAATTGACACACCCACGGCGTGACTTATTGTGTGTCTTCCTCTTTTGCATGGTGTCTTATGGCGAGGTGTACTACAGATGAGGGGTTTGATGGCCGGCAGTGTCAAACGGGGCAAGGGGGCTCCAAAGGGAGGGGGGCGATGGTGGAAGCTTTAAGGGTCTATCTGGCTCCAGGAGGAAGTGACGATCGATGGTCGAGCTCAGGTAATTACGGCGGGCGCTGCCCGTCCTGCGGCCATCTTGGAAGGATCAAAAAGGAATAGGTACCGCTACATGGCTCGCGGTGTAGGGCTGAGGCAATCAGCATGTACCGTCCCTTGTGATCGTGGCAGTAGAGGTGGCAGTGCTCTGTCTGTTCTGCCCAAGGCACTTCATTACAGGCGCTTCGACGATCATCAAACCCACCAACGGCCTCTCGTGATAGGCTGCCATCCGATATGGTCTCTGTCAGCCTTTTTGCTGGGGGAAACAAGCAGCAAGTAGCAAGCAGGGGGGAGCGCAAGAACGGGGGGGCCAGCCTGGAGGAGGTGGGTGCGGGGCCTGTAGAGCGCCATCCCGGTTGGATCGGTACCACCGCACTACGCGACGAGGCCCATCCGTCTCGGACGCCGAGAGGGGGGGCGCGGGAGGGGCGAATGGCGAACGGCGAAAGGCGAAGCGACCGAAGAACGAATGGCCTGTCTCTGTTCCTCGCTCCGGCTGCGACCTGTGGCCAGTGACCACCTCATGCTTTCACTCGCTGACTGTGGAAATCTGCCTTTGCGACGATCGCAAAGTGCCGTGTGCGGCCTTCTAGAAGCTCTGCTCGATCGTCTCGTCAGGCAGAAGAGCTAATGTGGTCCCTAGTAAAGCGTCCAGTCAGCGACATGCATTCAATTTGAGTGCTGAGACAGCCCACAACGGACCCTCGCCAATCATGAGAGGCGTCCCACGCTGGCAGTGAGGATCTTTGCTGCCGAAGCATCACATATCGAGATTGGTAAGCCTGCTTTGTCTTGATGAGGGTATGGTTCATGGGATGAATGCATGGTGTGATGGTAATTCTGAATATGACCGTTTCGCTGAAATCGAACTTTTGTGCGGGCAGTGGCAGATTTGCCATCGCGGTTGGTGACAGGCGTTGACAATCGGGTGCCTCTGGCTCCTGGGGGGTGGCTTCCCGACTCCTCACAGCCAACTTGAACCTTACTTGCATCTTCGACACACAACGCGGCTTTTTCCCTCCCGTTCTCTGCATTCTCGAACGTCGTTTTATGTTCTAATATTTTCGAGGTGGAATTTTCGTTTAGCCAGAGGAAAGTCCGCCCAGAGAGCCTCGTCTGATCATACACCAAAATCCAGACGGGACCTGGATGGCATTATGTAGGTCGATATGCAGGGCGTACTCGGTTGCTCAATCAGGTTTCTGTTTTCATATTCATTTCAAGCCTTCGCACTATAGCAATCTTGAACATTACATTATGACAAAAATCGGTGACCGTCTTCGCCCCTCGGGACCCTCAGCAATTGGTGGGGGGTCCTTTGGTCTGAGAGGAACGAGGAGTGAATGGCGGATTGCAGACAGCAGGGTGTAAGTTTGAATGTCTCTCTGGTCGAACATGTGGTAGATAGCAACATAATTCTGTGCTGTCTACAGCAACCTCGTAAATCACATGCGAAACACCCACAGATACAACCAAGGCTGACTTGAGTCTACCTATACGTTACTGTACAGACCCCGTCGAGGCGGAGCAGAAAAAAGCAGGCGGGTCCGAGTCAAACACCTCCCACATCAAACATTGTTGTCCGTTTCCGAATTCCTGTTCGTCCAAACCGTAAGCCACCCAACGCCCAAAGCTATAACCAGACACCTTGCCGCAACGGAAACAGAGTGGTCCGCAGAAGGAGAGAGAGCCTCTACGACTCGCCGGCCTTGGATTCCTTGGCGGGCTCCTCGTCCACGTCCATCTTGTCGGCCGCCTCGTCCTCCTTGGGCGCTTCGTCTGTCTTCTCGGCCTCGGGTGCAGCCGTCTCGGGTTCAGTCTTGGATTCGGTCTCCTTGGCGGGCTCCTCGGCGGCAGGAGCAGGAGCTTTTTCGGGCGTGGCCTTGCGTGACGCCGGCTTGCTGGTCTGTTCTGTCTCCGTGGTCGCCTCAGGCTCGACATCCTCCTTCTTGATCGTGGTCGTTTCTGCAGCATCGGCCCTGTCGTCCATGCCGACATCACCGTCTCCGTCCACTGCTGGCTGGTCCTCTTTTGGCGTCGCCTCCTTCTCGGCAGCTGCCTCTTTTTCCACAGGTTCATCCTCTTCGGCGGGCTTTTCAATGGTGACATCGGCATCCTCAATGGGTTCAGCATCAGCAGTTTCCTCGGCACTCGTCCCGTTGACAGGGGTCGGGGCGGTGCTGTTGGCCTCCTCCTCGCCCTTTGAAAAGTCGTTGAAGGCGCGCTTCTTCGCTCCACGAGGCCGCGTCATGCCGTTGGCGGCGTCCATGTCTTCGTCTTCGCTCTCTTCAAATTCGGCGTCGTTCTGCACGCGCTTGTCCCAACGATCTTGGGTCATCCGGGTATCAGCGTTCTCATCCTCGTCCAGATCGTTGAGTTCAGCCTCCTCTTCTTCCGTCATGCCGCCAAAGGGTTGACGGGGCACATCTTGCATCTGGACAGAGGGAGCGGGGGCTGTGTGTCGGAGGTTATCGATGAGGGCGGCCTTGACCTTCTCGAGATACTCTGTGCTATTGGAGTTCTCCATGTTGGAAGGCCGAACATCGAGATCGAAATCGGGAGCGTAGTACTGCATACGTTAGCAATGAAGGCCTGGTAAGGGTAGATATTCTACTCACTTCGTAATATTCATTGTACGGGAGCTGGCGCTCCATGTGCTGACCAACCAGCACACCGGTCTCAAAGGCCCACGTGCGGGCAACGTTGCGCATGGTGTAGCCACCGCCGCCGAGAACCAGGGTAGGAAGGCCGAAACTCTTGACGTACGAGACGCAGTTGGCATGCCCCTCCATGCTGAGATTGAAGCAACCCAAACGATCGCCGGAAAGACTGTCGCCACCGCACTGAAGGACAACAGCCTCGGGCTGGTAGAACTTCATGACGTGCTCGATGACAGGCTCGAAGATCGACTTGTACGACTGATCGTTGATGCCGTCTCGCAGGGGGAAGTTGACCGAGTAGTATTTGCCTGGGCCGATACCGATGTCGCGGAGCTCGCCGGTGCCGGGGAAGTACTCGCCGTACTTGTGGAAGGAGACCGTCATAACGCGGTCGGTGGTGTAAAAGGCCTCCTCGACACCATCACCGTGGTGAACATCAATGTCGATGTATAAAACGCGCTTCATGAAACGCAGGAGCTCGATGATGCCTAGCACAATGTCTGATTGTCATGTCAGCACGCTGGAAAGAGAAACGAGCTGGAGGCGCAGAGTTTACCATTGACGTAGCAGAAGCCGCTACCCTCGCTTTTCTTGGCGTGGTGCAGGCCACCGCCCCAGTTGATGGCGACGTCGCACTTTTGCGGTTGAGGCGCGCAG